ATGATTATATTTTTAGACTAACTAATAAGTAAAAATATTAAATTTAAAATGACAACTAATAAGTAAAATATCTTAAATATTCAATTACAAAAACCTAAAATAAATTAATGTTCAATTGATATGATTTACAAGCTAGTCTCTAATTATATCACGAACATGCTGCATCTGTCTTGATGATCTGGGTAGATTTGACGAGGATGCCTCACCAATATCGATATCTTCCTCAAGGACATCTACACTTTATCTTCAGCTTGAATGAATTGCTCATCAGTAATTGAATTTCTCCTAATAAAGTTATGTATTGCCATTGTTGCACAAACAATTTGAACTTGTGTTTTATATTTAAATTTGGGCATTTTTCGTATAATTGCAAACCTATTCTTCCATACTCCAAATGTTCTTTCTATAGTGCATCTCAAACTTGAATGATAATAATTGAAGACCTCATTATTGTTTGCAAATCCTGCAACTCGCTGAAGTCTGGAAGGTGATAACGTTCGCAACGATATGGACCAAGATACCCATTTAGTGTTGGATAACCAGAATCAACCAGATAATATTTACCTATTAAATAAAAGGAAGTTTTGTAAAATTGACCAACATTAAATTAATGCAATAATAATTATGGTAACTTTAATAAAATATACCTGGAGGTGGATGCGGAAAATGCATTGAAGGAGTTGATATGGCATTATCAAATACTCGAGCGTCATGAGCCGTACCTTCCCATCCCGCAATGACAAAAGTAAAACACATGTCCCAATCACATACAGCCATGACATTCTGTGTTGCATATCCCTTTCTTCCAATAAATTTAATTTGATCAGCAACACTAACCTACGCATGGCACACGAGTGCCATCAATTGCTCTATAGCATCCTTAAAGAATGGCCAATACCGTGGATCATTTGAAATTTTTGAATGACATCGTTGAATGATGAAATGAAGGATCAAGTGGCTTTATGTTTGCCTTGGAAAGGTTTAAGGCAGGCAGCTAATACTTTATGAAATTTCTATGGACAGTTTCCCCTGAATGTTGAAATTGTTTCATGTATCATCCTATTACAACTCCATGTCCAATTGTGTTCAAAAACATTCCAACCATTCTTCAACTCCCATTTTTTAGATTTCTTTAGACCAAGCTCATCTAGTGTCGCACATAGTTGCCTAAACAAATGTTTTACATTTGAAAACATTTCATAACAACGATCAGGATGACCTTGCAAAATCTCATTAACCTACATTTGCCCTGTTTGCCTGCTAGTTCTTCGTGGCTCTTTACACACATATGGCATCACATATTCACCAACTAATTGACATTTCTTCTTGCTCAGATATATCTTGTTGTAACAAGGGAAGTAGTTGATGAGCCACATCTACATCCCAACCTTCATTCCAACCTAACATATATTCATTTGAATCTTCCATAATTTTCAACCTAAGGTAAAATAGTATATGAATATCATTTGTATATAATATAAAATACATAGTATATAAATATCATTTAACAACATAAAAAATAAAGCATAAGATGAGCATTAGATAAGAGTTAAATATTTACTACAAACCAGCCAAAAGAAACTACAAGCAGTCTTTAAGTCAAAATAAACACCAGTCAAGTCATCATAAGCATAGCGAGGTACAAGTCAGCCAAAAGCAACTACAAGTAGTCTTTAAGTCAAAATAAACACCAGTCAAGTCATCATAAGCCTAGATAAAAATTCATCCTGATGTATTCTTTGAAATAAAATCTGGTAGATGGTAGACTTGGTGCTTCAACCCAATTGACCAAGTGATCAGGATGGTCTTTAAGTTGCCAGTAAGCATCTCGCATAGGCTTGTATAGAACAAGATTGACACATCTTCAATGTAAATCTTTATCACCAAAAACTTCTGGGAGTCTATTTAGGTGAGCCACAACCTCAGAAACTCTTATGTCATTTGCCAAAATCTTGTTCACTGTCTCTGTTCTAGCTCCATTATCCTTGGCCATGTCACTCATCTCATTTGCTATTTTCATTGAGGCAGAGACTTTTTGCTTTTTCCTCCTACTAACGCCTACCACCCTCTTTCTCTTGCCTTGACTTCCGTCACCACTAGTTCCACCAGTATTTGCGGTGACATTCAAGCCTAACAACTCATCGGTGACCCCCGTAGGTGTTGCAGTGTCAGATAAATTTAACTCCTCTTCACTATCACCGGAGCCTTCTCGAAGGTCAATAGTAGGGCGGTACACATCCTCATCATCATCATTCTTATTTGGGTCTGGGTAGCAGATGGTATAAAAAGTGTCTCCCCAGTTGCCAGGACACCCTTGAATATCAAGGTTAATTCCTTGCAAATCTCAGACCTTTATATCTAAATTTTTCATAAAGAGGATTTTCCTGCAACCATTCAAATAACCAACAATTAAAATTCTCAAATTAAATTCTAATTCTAAAAACACGTAACAACTAATCCATACCAAGATTTTTTGCTCCCATCACTCATCTGGAGCATGAACAGTATTCTTGTCACTATCCCATCCTAAGCCGGTTTCACTTGAAAATAACTTATGCCATATGTTCCATTCTTTCCTCATGTTATCTAGCTTATTTTTCAATTGCTTTCGCTCATACCTTTTTCCTATTTTTGCCTTAAACCCCTCAATTATTGCCTGCCACCCATTTTTGTTGAAAGCAGTTCCTTTCCTTTTTTCTTGTACATTTGTTCCAAGCATTCTTTAATGAAGATTTCTGTTAAAGTTGAATTCCACACAGCTTTTCCTTTATTGCTGTTCATTGTTGTATAGACTAGCTAGCCATCACAAACATGCAAAATCAATATATATCTCTACATATATGCAAAATCAGTATATATCTCCTATTTTCAGTCTGGCATTTTTCAAATTCATAGAGTTTATATAATAAAGAACAAAAATTTAAAATAATGCAACTTGCACAAAAAGAATTGAAGCATGATAGTGATAATGATAATAATCGTGCTATATTTACAAATCCTCTTTCCTGAGCTGGAGAAGATTGATTGAGATTAACGGAAAAAAGAAAATACTTTACTCTGTAGTCTTGTGTGACCTGGTCGCAACCTTACTCTCAAAAAGAAAAAAAATTAAGACCATCAAATATATGATTAAATGAAAATTCCCATCTCAAAAATCAAGTCTGGCTAGCTAGAAAAATAAAACATGTAGACACCTACATACTTTGGGAATAGCATTTGTGGTCACAAAGGGGTAAGGAAAAACTAAATCCAAACATGATCAAAAGAGCTAAATAATTAGCTTTGACAAAATGAAGAGGATCCACAAGGCTACAGCTAAATCATGAAATGATATTTTAACAATGTGATATATATAACCTAATAAAGTCTCTAGTTTAAAGGCAGAGAAGATATCAAGATCTAACTAAATCCAGGTTGACTTTTGTGTTTCTTACGATTGAATAAGAAAAATCTCGGGTATTAATTAACGAAAGGGATTTGAAAGTTCTGAAATTGCTAAGAATCAAAATGTCCAGAGCCTAACAAACGTGTGTTTCCTCCGGATGTTGAAGGAGCTGCCATATTTCGTCCTACTTCCAACGTGAGTGTTTAACAGCATTATAAATAACCGAACAGGTGAAGACATACACTTATGGGCATCTGTACTCATGTTACACGCACGCATTATCGCATGGGATTGAAAAAGAAGATGAACATTAGCAACTTGAGTTCCAGAAAGAACAGGGATGGAAAGTAAAGAAAATAACAAGCAGGATAGGAAACAAATGTACACGTATATCTTCCTCTGCTCTAAAATAAACAACAGGGGATGGACACGAGATAATAACAAGCACATCACTTTCCAGAGCAGTAGAGCATGACGGGTCAAGGAAGAAAAGTCTTCGAAGAAGGAACAGCAGAGCACAACAGGAAATAAGGCAACGAAGGAGACGAAAAGAATGACCTTACTTGGCAAGGACAAGTGCTATGGAGTAGATCCAGAGATAAGAAGCAGACGAAGTAGACGACTGGCCGAAGTGCAGATCTGGTTCACACTGCAGAGATCGAGAGGCAATAAGGAGAAGAAGCACTTCGACGCAAGGACACGGTGGAAAGCTGGAGATCCACAAAAAAAAAAAACAGAAGAGAGCTGGAGATCAACGACTGGCTGAAGGAAGCAGACGCTGACCGAAGGAAGTTGACGAAGCTGACGACTGGCTGAAGAGAGCTGGAGATCAACGACTGGCTGAAGGAAGCAGACGCTGACCGAAGGAAGTTGACGAAGCTGACGACTGGCTGAAGGAAGCAAACAAAGCAGACGACTAGCTGAAGGAAGCAGATCTGGAAGTGTGTTTTGAAGCAGATTGGGAAGACGACTGGCCGAAGGAAGTAGATCTGGAAGTGTGTTCACGTGTAAAAGCAACATGTACAGGAAGCAAGGAGCAGCTTGGGTAGCTAGAAGACAAGAGAGAGAAAGCAATAAATTTTAAAATGCATTTAATGCTTTAACGGGCAAACGTGAACGCTGAGCTTCAAAAGCCAGATCAGTTGGCTTTATAGATAATGCGCATTTATCAGCTAATTGAGGTTGAAAAATTATGTTAATCCAAACAAATTTTTTTTAGTGTTTTGCATCTTAACCTCAGTTTCACCTATACTAACTGAAGTTACAGTATAATCCAAACATGCACTAATTCAGGCTAAGTCTTCCAACAGCTGTCGTATTTTCCGAAACCATATGGTCCAACGTAGGGACCCATTCAATATAGAACGTCGTGTTGTGTTTAAACTGTCCATTAAACATTTTTGGGGTGCAGCTCTAAACTGGGCTTTGTTCACTAGACAGCTTACATACCGAGGAAGTTTGCTCAAGAATTGTGGGCCGAACCACAAAAGGCCAGTAGGCCCAACATGACAATGTCGGGGCCGCAGCTGGTTGGTTTGCTCGGCGTCGGGGAATTGTGCGGAGTACTTGCAAGAGTTGTGCGCTCGCAAGTCACTGGGTCACAACTATTCGGTTTTCGTTCGGCTCCCCAAGAAAAGAAGTCCATTGGCAAAAGCACGTCATAAGCGGAGGTGAAATGGAGTTTCGTGTAAACCAAGCATGCTGAAAACTGAAATTGAAAGCCAAGGAAAATGGGATTCATGCGCTCTCGCTCTCCATGATTGAAGCAACACTCTCAACACTCAAAGCCGAAGGCTCTCAGTTCCGATCCACATTGGCATTCTACGATGGACGACGCATATGCCAGATCTATTCCTGAGGTAATCGTCGTTCGTGCCTTGTACGTCTGGACACCGTGGGAGATTAAAAAAGAAAATTTTAGTCTGAAATTGTTTCACCACCTTTGCTCGGCAATATTTCTTCACGCGTTTCGTTCGAGTTGATAGCTTCCTTTTAAAAATCCGGATGCAAGATTTATCCCTTTCCAATTCTCAGATGTGCTGCTCCGGTGCTTCTGAGATGGAATCACTTTTTACATACTTTCGGGCATCCAGATGGCAGGACTCTTATCAAGTCGCACAAATTAAAACAAGGGACAACCGACATTGATCTCGTATAAATTTGTTCTCTCAGAAAGTTGGCTACCGACTTTCTGTGAATTTCATTTCCACGCTTCACAAAATACACAGGACAGACCCAGCATAACTTGCCCAAAGCGTTCTCAATCTGCGTCTATGATTCAACTAATACTGTGCTCATTAGAACTGAAATCGTTAAAACTCACTACCTGCACAATTTTTTCCTTAGACAGTATAGTGAATTCTGATACTCTTTTCTTCTTATTTCTTGTTCTTAAATCCTATGTAGGTACTCGATTTCTTTGGAGTGGACCCAACAAAAGGTCTTTCTGATGGTCAGGTACTTGGGTGTATATTTTATATGCTTTTTTCTGGCTTCGATGTAGAAATAAGAGGTCTATACATGTAAGCGCGATTTTACGTTCACCTTCGACAATGAAAACTGTGACGGTCTACATGCTTTCACGCCCAATTTGTTGAGAGTTTTTTTTTAAAAAAATTTTACTTTCATTTTGCAGGTGGCACAGCATGCCAGACTTTATGGTATAAACGGTATGTCTTTTCTAGCAGGGGCATGTACTTGCATCTAATTTTTCCTTTTACTGTTACTCATGTAAAAGTGTAATGGAGAAATGCAGTTTGTCCTGAAACAAATTTACATTTTTTGTATCACTTAATTAGTGACTTTCATTCTTTATGTTGCTGGTATACATGATAGTAATTACTCTCAAAGTAATATCGAGGGAATTCACCTTCTGGCTTTTATTTTCAGTCTTTTATCAATTAAGTTTTCATTTGGTGCCATTTTATTTGCTTCCTGACATTCTCCCCTTTTTCTGTTGCATGTTCCTCCATTTGCTCCACAGTGCTGCCGGAAGAAAGAAGTAAGTATATGGCATCTGATCTTCCTTCTTCAAAATGCTCTTCTTTTCATAATATTTCACGTCTTGGTGTGATCGTTTTGGGCAATTCTTTGACCCTGGCAAGCTTTGTTTTAATCTTCTCAGTCATTTTAGGCAACTAGGTTGCTTCATGTATTAGAATGGAATGGATGGTAGTCATTTGGAGATTGTGCAAAAAGTCCGTTTGTGCATGAGTTGTGCACTTTAAGTTGATCTGTTATTATGGCCAAAAAGTTCCATCTGTTATATCATTGCTAATTGAGGTCTTATGGTTTTAGCTCAATTATTTTTATGTTTATGCCAACCCTTACTGTGATCTAGATTTAGCGTAATGAGCTGATTCTTATGAAATCTCTATGCAGGGGCTCCTTTTTGGAAATTGGTCTTGAAACAATTTGATGATTTGCTTGTGAAGATATTAATAGCAGCTGCACTTATCTCTTTCATTCTGGCTTTAATCAATGGAGAAACGGGCTTAATGGCATTTCTGGAGCCTTCTGTAAGATATATATACCCTTCCTAGCTTTGTTTGTTGTTTGAATAGGGAAAATTTTTCATGAAATCACTAGTTCAGATTGCTGAGTGAAGACAATTGATGATTAAGACTAAAATTTGGATATTAGAGATTTAATTGGTGAATTTCAATTGTGAACTAGGGATTCTGATGTAGCCGCTGTACATGTGCAGACCTATAAGAGAAAATCAAGGGGGCAACCGAGCTTAGAAAAGAAATACCAAGCGGGTTAGGATTAATATCCAAAGGGTCCCGAAATCAAGGATTAGATCACAATGTTTTGTAGGGTGGCTTAGATGCAGTATAGACACTGGAGTCACCTTTTGCTTGCCTTATTATTCTGTTGTTGTCTTGGTTAGCACTCAAGACATGTTTTGAAAGTCAGATAGAAGTGAGGAGAGTGGTGGTCTCTCGAACACCATTGAAGGGCCTGTTCTGTTGCTGTTTAGTTCTTATTATTGTAATTGTGTTCAGTATTAGGGAGTAGGGTTTTGGCCAGAATCAATGACTTCCTTTTTGTAACACTGATTTGGTTGTTTTGCTTTAATATCAAAACCTCAGTATTTCCCTAAATTTGTCATTCCTTGCATTTATTTTCTGTTAAGGAATTTATCATAGAGCAGAGTTCTATCAGATTCTATCCAGTTTAGATAGGGTTTCCTGTCCTAGCTTATTGTTTGGTTGTTTCCTAATTCTTGTTGAATGCATGTGCTTGAGGGTTACTATATCATGTGTTATATTGGAACTATATTTTTTTTAATTCTTTTTCATCAAGCAGTACACATTCAGTGTTGAATTACCTTATTGAAGTCGAGCTTTTACCATTGCAACTTGCTAGTGGAAGTAGTACAAAATTACAAATTGATGGAGGTGAACTAGTAACTTGGAGGATTTGATAACTCAAGAAGGTGGACAAAATTTGATGTTTTAGCATAGGATTTGCAATGGCAATGTGAAGAAAGCTCTCAAGAAAATAAAAAATGGTAGAGTTATAGGACTTGATAATATCCTTATTGTAGTGTGGAAATGTTTAGGCTAAAAAGGGGTGTTGTGGCTAATGAAGCTATTTAATGAGATTTTATGATCCAAGAATATACCTGAAGAATGGAGAAGAAGCACTTTAATTCCTGTTTACAAGAATAAAGGGCATATTAAGAATTGTGCAAATTATAGAGATTAAACTTATGAGTCATACCATTTGATTCATATTGAGAAGGACTACAACATAAGAGATATATTTACTAAGGGGATTAATGAAAAGGTATTGGAGGAAAGGAAGAGACTTATATATGGTTTTCATTAATTTGAAAAAAAAGTTATGATCGTGTGCCAAGAGAACTACCTTTGAAAGCCTTGGAAAAGAAAGGTGTCCATGTTGCATGGATCAAAACTAAAGAAGATATGTATAAGGGAGTAGCAATTGGTGTAAGAACATTTAGTGGTGAGACAAACAACTTTCTTATATGGATTGGCCTATATTAGGGATTATTCTTGAGCCCTCATTTGATCTATTTTTGGATGTTCTAGTTAAGCATGACAAAGAAGTCCCCAATGGGTAACAACTAGTGTAGAAACATTTAGTGGTGGGATAAATAACTTTCCTATAAGGGTTGACCTACATTAGGAACCATCCTTGAGCCCTTATTTGACCTGGTTTGAGATGTTCTAAATAAGCATATACACAAGTCCCCAAATGCATTTTTTTTGCTGATGATATAATTCTCATTGTGGAGTCAAGGGAAGAGATTAACTCTAAATTTGAGTTATAGAGAAAGACCTTGGAGTTGAAGGGTTTCTGCTTGAATAAGAGTAAAGCAAAATATATGCATTGCAACTTTGATAAGAGATCGATTAGTAGTAATTTGGAGGTTAGATTGGGATATCATATCATATCACAAGTGACAAAGTTTAGATATTTGTGAGCAATTATTCAAAATGATAGTGGAATTGATGAGGATGTTTCACATAAAACACAAGTTAGGCAGTTCAAATGAAGAAAGGCTACATGAATTATTTATGATTGGAAAGTACGTAATAAACTTAAAGAGAAGTTTTATTGATCTGCTGTAAGATTGGGTATGTTATATGGTTGTGAATGTTGGGCTTTAAATGGATGACAAGAACATAAAGTTGGACTGACAGAGATGGGGATGCTAAAATTGATGTGTGGGTGTACAAGAAAAGAAAAGATTTGTAATTATTGTATACGGGAAAGAATTGGTGTAGCATCTATTTAGGAGAAAATGGTATAAAATCCTTTAAGGTGATTTGGATATGTACAAAAAGTCATGGGAGATACTAGTAAAGAGGGTGAAACAAATAGTCTTGAATCCTATTAAGAGTGGTAGAAGAAGAGTTAGGAGAACAATCAATGAAATTATTGAAAAGATCTTTTGGTTGACAATATATCCAAAGATTTGATTGTTGATAGAGTATAATGATGCCATGCTATCCATATTGTTGACCGTACTTAGTGGGTTAAGGCTTCTTGTTGTTGTTAGTTAGTTAGTAAATGTGCTAAATGTTTCTGTATGAATCTGTCAGTTTTGCCTTTTCTGTCAGGTTTATCAAATGTGTAATCTTCTTGTCTTAATTTCAAATTATGTACAGGTTATTCTAATGATATTGGCTGCAAATGCAGCAGTTGGGGTGATTACAGAAACAAATGCTGAAAAGGCTCTTGAGGTAAATTTCAAATAACAATTCTGAGCTTGCATCATTCTTCTGGACAATATTTTACTTCACATTTTTTGGACAATTTTTTCCCTACCCTAAATTAACTCATTTGGATTTCAAATTATTTATATTTTTCAATTTTCAATCTTAGTTTTTAATGAATTCACTACTTGTACTTGCTTTCAACAACATTTGCCTGATGAAAATGCCCTTCTGGAAAGTTTAAATTTTGAGACTTTTTCTATTTTGGGAATGCTTTATATTGGTCAGTTGAAGTTTACCTCAGATTGATACTTTTTTTTTTCCTCTGTATATTTTAGGAGCTACGGGCCTATCAAGCTGATGTTGCAACTGTACTTCGAAATGGTAATGGGAACCATTTATAGTAATACGTGCGAGGCTCTATTAACTATTGATTTGATGAGCTTTTTGGATTTTAACACGTCTGATTCAATGAGTGTGGTTATTTCCTTGCTGTATCAGCAGATTACAATCTTGGAGGTCCTTTTATCAGATTTTTTTGTCACGCACTTTGGTTATAGTTTGTTGTGTAGTTCTCTGCTTTGTCTTTGTCGCATAATGGAATATTCTCAACTTTCTACTGTTTTGTTCCTCATTTTGAAGGGTTCAAGGGATTACAATTAAGAAGAAATATGAGATGAAATCATTTTGTATGATTGGTCTGATTTAGTAAATATTCCTCCTGGAGCCTAACTAACTGCTGTTAGGAATTGTATACTTTTTCCTCTCTAAGCATGTGGTTTATATTTCCTGCTTGACTTGTGTCTATTCTTTAGCTTTGTGCTGACAAGTCCTCAAAATATTTGAACTCATTTTTTGTTGATGCCGCATCTTTTTAGACTGTTGTCCATATTCTGAACATAAGTCCTAGCGCTTGTCATGGAAGAATGGAAAAAAGAAAGAAAAGGGAAAAACAGTAGTTAATTTGGGTGTCAATTTTTGCTCCATCCATGTTCTTAGTGTGCTGAATTTTCTTTACATGAGTTCTTTCATCTGCCATGGTGAAATTATGAAAATCTTAAATGAATTGCTTAAAACACATCATATTTATGTTTGAGATTGTTTGGATTTTAAAGCAGGATCTATCTTCTGCAGGTTGTTTTTCCATACTTCCAGCAACTGAAATTGTTCCTGGCGATATTGTGGAAGTTTCTGGTAAGCTGATTATGTAATGCCTACAGATCAACTGAATTATTTAAATTTTAAATATTATCCTGTAGGAATGAAAGTCACTATCCGTGTTTTGTCTGTGTATTGAAAAGTTGGGTGCAAAATTCCTGCTGATATGAGGATGATTGAGATGCTGAGTAATGAAGTACGTGTTGATCAGGCTATTCTTACAGGTACACCTGCTGCACATGTCTTACACTAAATACAACAAGAAAAGCTTTATCTTACTATGTGGGGTCAGCTATATGGATTGCTCCACTCCATTGTGTTCTATCAACAGCTAATCCTTAGAATAGAAATTTTAAATGGCTCCTATGTCAAGCATTTTCACCATAAATGAACAATGGTTTTACAATTTAATGTTTGCTTGTTTGGAAGCTAAATGTAGGCATAGTGCAGCTGTAAGGGAAGCAAGCAAGGGAAAAAACAGAAAGAACTTTCTCTGCATGCATCCTAAGGAGGGATGTGTTCTGTCCATGGCTCTAGAACAGTGCAGTTCCCTCCAGTTTTATTTTATATTATAGATTTATTGATAGATTTATCTTGATAGGATTGGTGTTCATTTATTTTCAAAATTTATATTTTAAAAGCAACAACAAAGCTGTTGATAAAAACAAATAAAAGGACCACTTCACTCCATGTGCCTAACTAAAGCTGTTCAAAGAGTAAACTGAAAAAGAAATGAGTGGGTGCATTGTTGCTTTTAAAATATAAAAACAACAACAACAACAAGCCTTTATCCCACTAGGTGGGGTCGGCTACATGGATAGCAAGACGCCATTGTGCTCTATCATTTATTAAGCTTTTAGAAATATTATTAATTAAGAGATCACGTTCAACAACTTCCAAGAGTGTTCTCTTAGGCCTTCCTCTACCTCTCTTAATCGGACTCAAAGTTATATGTTCCACTCTTCTCACTGGTGCCTCCCTTGGTCTTCTTTGTACATGCCCAAACCATCTCAACCGATTTTCTACCATTTTTTCCTCAATAGGTGCCACCTTCACTTTTTCACGTATGTGTTCATTTCGAATTTTATCTTTACGTGTATGTCCGCACATCCATCGTAACATTCTCATCTCTGCTACTCCAACTTTATGCTCTTGCTGTCCCGTTAGAGCCCAGCATTCACTACTATATAACATTGCCGGTCTGATAGCAGTACGATAAAACTTTCCTTTAAGTTTATTAGGCACCTTACGGTCACAAATAACTCCTTTAACTTTTCTCCAATTAAACCACCCACTTGAATTCTATGTGAAATATCTCCACTGATTTCGCCATCATTTTGAATAATGGGTCCCAAATATCTAAACTTTTCCACTTAAGGTATAATTTGATCTTCCAATTTCACTTCCAAATTATTTTCGAATAGTCCTTTATCAAATTTACAATATAAATATTCCGTCTTACTTCTACTCAGACGAAAACCTTTCGACTCCAATGTCCTCCTCCATAACTCAAGTTTGCAATTAACCTCTTCTCTTGTCTCTGCTATAAGAACTATATCATCCGCGAAGAGCATACATTTCGGGATTTCCTCTTGAATATGTTCCGTCAAAACATTTAAAATCAAGTTGAACAAATAAGGACTCAGAGATGATCCCTGATGTAGTCCAATCTTTATAGGAAAATTTTTTGTTTGACCACTAGGCGTTCTTATACTAGTTTTTACCCCCTCATACATATCTTGTATGGCTTTAATATAAGCAATCCGTACTCCCTTTTTTTCCAACGCTTTCCAAAGCACTTCTCTTGGTATACGGTCATAAGCTTTTTCCAAATCAATAAAAACCATGTGTAGATCTTTATCTTTACAACGATACTTTTCCATTAATCCCCTTAGTAGATAAATCGCCTCTGTAGTTGATCTACCTGGCATAAAACCAAATTGATTCTCAGAAATACTTGTCTCCAATCTCAACCTGTGCTCAATTACTTTCTCCCACAATTTCATTGTGTGGCTCATGAGTTTAATCCCTCTATAGTTAGTACAATTCTGAATATCTCCTTTATTTTTATAAATAGGAATTAATGTACTTCTCCTCCACTCATCAGGCATTTTCTTGGACCGTAAAATCACATTAAATAACTTAGTTAACCATCTCACCCCTTCTTCACCTAAACATTTCCACGCTTCGATAGATATACAATCAGGTCCGTTAGCTCTACTATTTGCCATTTTCTTAAGAGCTTCCTTTACCTCCTTATCACGTATTTTTCGATAGAATGACAAATTTTGTTCTCCTTCACCAGTTACTAAATCCTCCAAGTTACTAGATGAATCCTCTCCATCATTGAAAAGTTTAGAAAAATAAGTCTCCCATCTATTTTTAATTTCATCATCTGTAACTAAAATTCTTCCCTCTTCATCCTTAATACACCTTACTTGTTCTAGATCTCTTGATTTTCTTTCCCTACTCTTGGCAATCTTATAAATATTTTGCTCTCCTTCCTTCGTCTCAAGGTTCTTATAAAATTCTTCAAAAGCTTTAGAACGAGCTTCACCCACAGCTCTCTTAGTTTCCTTCTTAGCCATACGGTACCTCTCCCAATTTTCTTCATTGTTACACAAATGTATGGCTTTAAAACAGTTCTTCTTATACTTGATTTTGTCCTGTACACTATTATTCCACCACCAAGACTCCTTATCTCTCGGACCAGAACCTTTCGATTCTCCCAAAACTACTTTTGCAACCTCCCGTATCTTTTTAGCCATATCCTCCCATATGATGTTAGCACTTCCCTGAGAATCCCAAATTCCTTTATCCAAAAGATTTCGCTTGAAAATATCTTGCTTCTCACCTTTTAATTGCCACCACCTAATCCTTGGTTTTACTACTTGTCGACGTTTTTGGATTTGACTCATAATACACACATCAAGGACTAGGACCCTATGTTGTGTCGTTACAGCATCTCCAGGGATCACCTTACAATTTTTACAAAGTTTTCTATCTGTGTTCCTAACCAAAAGAAAATCAATCTGCGACCTTGAGGCTCCACTTTTGTAGGTGATGAGATGCTCATCTCTCTTCTTGAAACAAGTGTTGGCAATCTTAAAATCATACGCCAATGAGAAATCAAGAAGAGTTTGCCCTTCATTGTTTAGCTCTCCAAAACCAAAACCACCATGCACCCTCGCATACTGACCAGCTTCCTTCCCGACATGCCCATTAAAGTCTCCTCCAATAAAAATCTTTTCACTCTGTGGTATGTGTCGAATCAACCCCTCCAGATCCTCCCAAAATAATTCCTTAAGACTGGCTTCTGTCCCGACTTACGGCGCATAAGCGCTAACAATATTAACAGTCTCACGTCCAATTATCATTTTTAAAGAAATAATTCTGTCTCCAATTCTGCTAACTTCTACAACGTTCTTCTTCCACTCCTTATCTATAATGATGCCTACTCCATTGCGTGCACTTACTTTTCCTGTATATCAAAGTTTGAAACCTTGAATATCCTTAGCTTCTTCTCCACGCCATTTTGTTTCTTGCAAGCAAAGGATATTGATTTTCCTTTGAATCATAACCCCTACAACCTCTACAGATTTATAATTTAATGTCCCAACATTCCAAGTACCAAATCTAATTTTGCTCTTATGGACTAACTTCTTTAGCCGCGTGCGTCCAGAATGACGCGGTAGCCCTTGCTCATTTAACACTACATCCGGGCGCCGATGCAGCGGCTCTAACTCACTTATCACTGTACTCGAGCCATGCAGCGCGTTACTTACGGGCAACGACCTAGCATTAACATTATAACGTCTATTGTCCATGTTCATGATAGATTCAACAAATTTTTACATTGGCTGTTGATGGCCTAACACAACCCTCCTCCTTTCCATGCTTTTAAGTAAAATGCCTATATGTATAAGTATTTTTTGGCCATTGTGTATCTTTGTATATTATGTGCATACTTGTGCATGTTGTGGAGAATACAAATGCATATGTTACAAATAATTAGTGCTGGTATCATGGGGTTTGAAATCTAGGGTAATTGAGGGCTGGTTTGGGAATTTATTACAATAAACAAGATCTGGAAAAGGAAATATATTTCCAGATCTGACATGGTTAAGAGCTGACTAAATCCCCTCATTATTACCTTGATTTCAGCAATGATTTTGTGTCATATTTCCTCCCTCTAATTTTGTATTCTTTCCTTTTATTCTCTTCTAGTCGTTGGGCATTTAATTCCCTCAATCATTGTATTTTGTTTGCCCTTTTCATTTTCTGGAGCATGCCTACATGCCTAACTTTTCTCTGGCTAGCCTATTTATTTCAAGTTTGTTTCTCTTAACCTTGTATCATACGATTTCACTCAACTTCAATAAAATAATTCCTTGTAATTTTCAATTAGTCGTGTCTAAATTAAGTTTTTGATTTTAGCATTTTGTTTATGATTTGAATTACAGCCAGTTATGTTCTATATCCTATGTTTGGAAGAGTTTACAAGAAAAGTACAATAAAATGGATGGCATGGAATGGTTTATAATCCCCACCCAAACATTACCCTAATTGAACAAACCTTTCTAATGTGCTTGTGGGAAATCTATTAATATTAGATTATGGAGGTATATTTGTATTTTTTTTAGCATAATGCTGGTCATTCTATCCTTGACCCTTCTAATTTGCAGGGTCACTGAAATTAGGTTTTTTGAGAAGGAAGGGTCTTGGATGCTATCTCTTGCTTTTCAATTAAATCCTGACCGAGGCATGCTCACTGATTTATTGATTTTCTTTTTATCGATATGATGATAGGTGAGAGCAACTCTGTGGAAAAAGAGCTTGAAACTACCACAGCAACAAATGCTGTATATCAAGACAAAACAAACATATTGTTCTCGGTGAGAATGATGAATCCTTTGTTAAAACATGTTACTGCCTTGGAATCTGGTTAAAAAAAAAAAGATAAAAGTGATTTGGAAATTTTCTTTTACAATCAGGTTTTTACTACGAATCCTATAGGTAATAATGCACAATCAGTGTCACTGCTGAAGTATTTATCTGATACAATTCCTTTGTACACAAAAAAGATTCTGGTTGGCACTTGGTACTATTTATTAACAGATTTTATAGCAATACTTTGGCTTTTCTGTTAACAATTCAAGTGTTAGTTCTATTAATTGTGAAAATTGATTGTCATGAGATGAAGATAGGTTTCACTGAAGTGGTCCAACTTAGTTTTTAGTATGCAAAGGCAAATTTTTTTGGTAAATGTATATATAGGCAATTTGATCCTGAATGAGGTTTGTTGGGTCAACTGATGATTTCAGTTTCTTCAGTTCTCCTTCATTTCCGATTTCAGTTTTTCATTGTTACTGAATTATTTAAGTTTCTTTAGGATTAACAGCTTTTGCTGCGAATTATTTCTTATTTTTGTAAAAACCTCTTATGTTATTGCGTTATATTTTACATGTATAAACCTTTTCTGATCTATCTATTGTGAATTTTATATTCTTCTATTCTTATTTATTTTAAGCTGCTAGCCAGTGGCAGTCTCTAGCATCCACAATGACCATTTTTACTGGTGCTTCTTATGTTCCGATACATTTCTACCATGGATATTTGAATTAACCAAGTTACAACAACAATAACAACGACAAGTTTTATCCCACTAGGTGAAGTTAGTTGTATGGATTATATAACACCATTGTATTTTATCATTTATTAAGCTTTTAAAACTATTGTTGATCAAGATGTCTCGATCAACAACTTTCAAAAGTGTTCTCTTTGGCTTTTCTCTGCCCCTCTTGATAGGGCTCAAAGTTATCTATTTCACCTTTTTCACTAGTGCCTCCTATAATCTTCTTTGTACATGTTCAAACCACCTCAGACAATTTTCTACTATTTTCCTTCAATAAGTGTGATGCTCACTTTTATCCATATGTGCTCATTTTGAGTTTTGTCTTTATGTGTATGTCCGCACATTCATTTCAACATTTTCATTTCTGCTATTCCAACTTTATGTTCTTGCTGTCTTGTTATAGCCTAATATTCACTACCATATAATATTGTTAGTCTTATAGCAGTTCGATAAAACTTTCCTTTAAGTTTATTAGGTACCTTATGATTGTAAATAATTCCTTTAGTCTTTCTCCAATTAAACCACTCAGCATGTATCTTATGTGCAATATCTCTATTAATTTCCCTATTATGTTAAATAATCGCTCTCAAATATTTAAACTTTTTATTTGAGGTATAATTCGATCACCCAATTTTACTTTTAAATTATCACTCACTGACCTCTTATTAAAATTATAATGTAGATATTTGTCTTACTCCTATTCAGCTGAAAACCTTTTGACTACAATGTCCTCCTCTATAACTTAAGTTTACAATTAATCTCTTTGCTTGTTTCCACAATAAGAAATATAGCATCCGCGAAAAGCATATATTTAGGGATTTTCTTTTGAATTTATTCAGTCAAAACGTCAAGACTAGGTCAAACAAATAAGGATTCAAAGATGATCTCTGATGCAGTCTTATCTTTATAGGAAAGTCTTTTGTTTTGCCGCTAGACGTTCTTATACCAATTGTTGCTTCCTCATACATGTCTTGTATTGTTCGAATATAGGCAACTTGGACACCTTTTTTTCCCAATGCTTTCCAAAGTATTTTTGTCGATACATGATCATAAGCTTTTTCAAAATGAATGAAAGCTATATGTAAATCTTTACCTTTGCATTGATATTTTTTCATTAATTTCCCTTAATAGATAAATTGCTTCTGTAGTCGCCCAACTTGGCATAATGCCAAACTGATTTTCAAAAATATCAGTTTCTAATCTCAACCTATGCTTAATCACTTTTTCCCACAATTTCAATGTATGACAAATAAAGTTTAATCCCTCTGTAGTTAGCACAAGTTTGAATATCTCCTTTCTTTTTGTAAATAGGAATTAAGTTGCTTTTCCTCCAATCATCAGGCATTCTCTTGGACTGTAAGATCTTATTAAATAACTTAATTAACCATCGCACCTCTTCTTCACCTAAACATTTTCACACTTCGATAGGGATACAATGAGATCTATTGACTCTACCATTTGTCATTATTTTTAAAGCTTCTTTTACCTCCCAATTATGTATTTTTTTATATAATGACAAATTTTGTTCTCCTTCAAGAGTACTAAATCCTCCAAGATTGATGAACCCTTGCCATCATTGAAAATTTATAAAAGTAGGTCTCCCATTTGTCTTTAATATCATTATATGTGACCAAAACATTTCCCTCTTCATCCTTTATATATCTTGTTCAAAATTTCTTAATTTTCTTTCCTTACTCTTACATTCTTATAATTTTTTTGCTCTCCATCCTTTATTTCAAGACCATTATAAAACTCTGCAAATGCTTTAGAACAAGTTTCACTCACCGCCTTCTTAGCTTCTCTTTTAGCCATGCGATACCTTTCCTAATTTTCATCATTATTACACAAATGGATGACTTTAAAACACTCCTTTTTATGCTTGATTTTTTCTTGTACACTATCATTCGACCACGAAGACTCCTTGTGGAATTTTCAGAGAGGAAAAATTGTATTATATCATTCATTTTCTATTGTACAAATTGGTCCTATATGTGCAAATTAAGATAGATAAAAACTGATAAATACTAATAAAGCCAAATTATGATCCTAATAAATGCTAATTATTTACAATAATGACATAATATTCCCACGCTCCTCCTCAAGTTGGATCATAGATGCTAATCATGTCTAACTTGCTTATACAACTCTCAAATGTAGGTTTAGGTAGTCCCTTCATTAGCAAATTTGTAGCTTGTAACTTTGTAGGTAGGTATGTCAGACGTACAATGCCTCTTTTTACTTTCTTTTTGATAAAATGTCTATCCACTTTAACATGTTTAGATCTCTCATGCTGTACAGGATTCAATGTCATGCTTATAGTAGCCTTGTTATCACAATATAATTTCATTGATGGATCAATTTTGACTTGTATTTCTTTTATGACCCTTCTTATCCATGGTTCTTTTGTAATTCCTTGAGCTAATGCTCTCAATTCTGACTCAGCACTGCTTCTAGATACAACTCTTTGCTTTTGACTTTTTCAGGTAGTTTCCCACACAAACAAGCAATAGCTAGAGGTGAATCTCCTGTCTCCATAGGTCCCCCCCAGTCTGCATCTGTGAAAATCTCAATTGTCCTTTGATCATGCTTCTTGAATAACAATCCCTTACCAGGTGTACCTTTAAGGTATCCGAGAATCCCATATATAACTTCTAGGTCTCTCTTCCTTGGATCACACATGTATTGACTCACTACACTGACTGCAAAAGCAATATCTGGCCTCATATGGATTGATAAATCAGCTTCCCAACTAGTCTCTGATATCTGTCTTTATCAATGGTTTCTTCTTTCTCCTTGTCTTCTTTTTCTTCAACTTTATTATCAGAGTTGTCTTCTCCTTCTGACTCCTCAATGCCACTTTTCTTAGGCGCTTCTTCTTTTTTGAGACCACAATAGGCGTTTCCTTAGGTTTTCCAACCTAACATGCCAATTTCCCTGAGAAGATCAAGTATATATTTCCTTTGAGATACATATATGCCTTGTTTTGACCTAACAACTTCCATCCCGAGAAAATATTTCAAGTTTTCAAGATCCTTAACTTCAAATTCCTTACCACAGATGGTTTTTATCCTCGCTATTTTGTCAACATGATCTCCTGTAAGGATTATATCATCAACATACACAATGAGGATGCACTTCTTAGCTCCCTCAACCTTAACAAATGTCATATAATCTGACAATCCTTGCTTGTAGCCTTATAACTTCAGGACCTTTGAGAATCTGTCAAACCATGCCCTAGGTGATTGTTTCAAGCCACACAATGATTTTTTTCAGTTGGCATACTTTGTCATTTTTGCCTCTATCAAACCCAGGAGGTAAAGTCATGTAGACTTCTTCCTTTAATTCTCCATTTAGAAAAGCATTTTTGATATCTAGTTGATGAAGATGCTATTCAAGGTTGGCTGCCATTGACAATATAATTCTAATAGTATTCAATTTTGCCACTAGCGTAAATATCTCTTTGTAGTCTATGTCGTAAGTTTGGGTGAGCTACTAACTGTGCTTTCAACTTGTCAAGTGTGCTATTAGCTTTATACTTTGGGGTAAAGACCCACTTGCAACTAACCAATTTCTTACCTCTAAGTCTTTTAACAATCTCCCATGTTACATATTTCTCTAGAGCTCTTATTTCCTCCATAACTGCATTTCTCCATTTTGGTATTTCCAATACCTCTTGGATGTTGTTGGGAATAACAACTTTTTTCAAATTAGTGATGAAGGCTTAGTAACTAGGAGAGAAAGCCTTGTAGGATATATGCTTCTGAATCGGATGCAAAGTACAAGACTGAGGTTGTTTCCGAAGGGCAATAGGTAGATCAAGATAAGTAGATTCACTTCTTTGTTCTGAGTCATCTGGCTCACTAGATGGATCAATCTTTGGTACGTCAGCTTTAGGGACTACCTTTGGTTTGACTTTCTTGGTGCCTCAGGTACAAGTTGCTCACTATCTTTTATTTTCTTCTTCTTTTGAGTGTAAACTAACAACTCCCCTTTTGTGGTCTTTCCACATCTTCCTCTATTTTCTTGTTTTCCTCCAACTTTGGCATAAGAGAAGAGGTTGGTGAAGGCGGGATGTTGGACAAAGGTAAGGGTGATGGTTCTGGTAAAGGAGATAAGGACTCAAGAAGTACATATTCAGTGTTAGGTTTTGGTTCCCAAATTTGAGATTCACCTATATTCCGCTTGAATTGAGGAATTGGAATAAAAAGGAGTTTCTTCATGGAAGTAACATTGAGGCTTACAAGGATGCGTTTAGAAACAAGATCAAAACATTTATATCCTCTTTGAGTAGGAGAATAGCCAAGGAAGATATACTTGATAGCTCGAGGTTCAAGTTTACTGCTTTGGTGGATATGAACAAAAGTCGTGCACCCAAACACATGAAGCGGAAGTTTCAATGTGGGATGTAGGAAAAATACTCTACAATTTTTGGAGGGGGTTTCCAAGGCTAATATTTGACTAGGCATTCGGTTGATGAGATAGTTTACGGTTAAAATGGCACCCCCAATAAAACTTTGGCATATTGTAAGTGAACATGAGTGCTCTTGCAACTTCAAGGATATGTCTATTTTTCCTTTCTGCAATCCCATTTTGTTAGGTTGCATGGGCACACGTATTGGTATGGACAATACCATGCATCTGGAGAAAATTACTCAAAGATTGGTTGAAGTATTCAGTACCATTGTCAGTGTGTAAAACTCGAATGCTAGTATTGAACTGGTTTTTGATTATGGTGAAAAAACTCATGAATATGGATGCAACCTTAGATTTGTTTTTTTAAAAGGTAAACCCAACAAACATGAGTATGGTCATCAATAAAGGAGAGGAACCATTTTGTTTGAGTACGGTTTGAAATGCGAGATGGTCCCCACAAATCACTGTGAATGATTGTGAAAGATTTGGTATGTGTGTATTTGGCTCTAGGAAAGGAAGTTCGATGGTGTTTGGCAATTTTACACACCTCATATTGGATTTCACTATGATTCAAGGTTAGGCATAAGGTTGGAAACAATCGCTGAAGGTAATAAAATTAGGGTGACCCATTCTCTTTTGCCATAACATAAAATCATGAACTTTAGAGGTAGATGCAGAATTACCAACAATAGGTGGGTTATCCACTCGAGTGATGACTTCTAAATAGTAGAGCCCCTCGTATTCTTGGGCATTGTCGATTGTCACACCAGATGATAGATCCTAGAAAACACAATGTGACAGGAGAAATTTAGCAAAACAATTGAGTGCCTGGTCAATTGACTGATTGAAAGTAAATTACAGTCAAGTTTTGGCACGTGGAGGACAGATTCCGAAATAATAGAATCTGATAGATGGATATTCCTTTTTCCTGCCATCGGTGCTAAGGAGCTATCTGCAATTTTCACTTTAACATTTCCAACACATGGGTGTAAGTGGTGAATAATGGATGACAACTTGTCATATAATCAGATGCCTCGAAATCCACAATCCAGACCACTGCACTTTGACTTGTCTTTAAAGCTTGAGGGAAAGACCCTCTTTTTTGCCACTAATGCCATGGGTGCAGATCTGGAATTATGCACAACACTGCATAAAGTAGCCAAAACACCACTCCTAGCACTTCAATCAAATGAGGGAAAGGCTTTCTGGTAGACTGAAATCAGAAGCCACAACCCAATATAACTCGAACCTAGCAAAACAGGGCACTAACAACACCATACGACCTAATATGGTTCGAAAATGATGTACCCATACACTAAATTGTGCTAGATCTGGCCGGAGAGTGCGTCGTTGCTGTCTGAGAAGGTCGCATCTTGAACGGAGCTTCCACGTGCTGTCGGAAGCTTGCTGACATAGTGAGCAGGGTGGCGCGTGTGGACCACATGCGCTGCCGTTTGTCGTTGCCCGTCTTGGGTTTCGCCGTTCAGAGCCTCTGAGTACGTCTAGGGTGGCGGTGAGATTCACAAACTCGCTCCACCATTGTCCACACAACGCCCTCACCTACTGTTCAGAAAGTCTCATTCTAGCCATTCCAGAACTAATCTAATTTGAATTTTTGAGCCTGATGCTCTGATACCATAGGGAATTTTCAAAGAGGAAAAATTGTATTATCTCATTCATTTTCTAATGTACAAACTGGTCCTATATATATATATATATATCAAGAGAGATAAAAACTAATAAATACTAATAAAGCCTAATTAATGATCCTAAAAATGCTAATTATTTACAATAATGACATAATATTCTCACACTCCTTATCTCTCGGACCAAAACTTTTTAATTCTTCCAAAACTTCTCTTATAATCTTCCTTACTTTTCTAGCTATATCCTCTCACAAGATGTTAGCACTTCTCCAAGACTCCCAAATTCCTTTAGCCAAAGATTCCGCTTGAAAATTTCTCACTTTTCACCTTTTAAATTGCCACCACCTAATCCTTGAAGTTATCACTTGTTGACACTTTTGGTTTTTACTTATAATATACACATCAATTACAAGGATTTTATTAATAATGTGGGTCTTGAATTCTTCTTTCACTTGCCAATTTGATTTCTGCAGAACGAAACCTATTTTTTCTTTGTAAGATTTTATTATCATAAAGGTTTAATTTTTACTTTCAGGGAACAGTTGTGGTTGCTGGTAGGGCAAGAGCAATTGTGGTGGGAGTTGGTCATAACACTGCCATGGGCAGCATACGTGATTCAATGTTGCAAACAGAAGATGTAAGGATTGTGTTTTGCCACTAAATGCTTTGATTGTGAGGCTATATCTTTATGCCTTTGTCTCAGCTGCTTATGGATGTTTTTCAATTTGTGATCCCGTGAACTGGCAGCCTTTTGACTTTGCTTATGATATCCAGAATGAAATCTGGATTTTGTCACTTCTACCAATCAAAGAAAGGAAAAGTCAGGTCTTGCATGTGACGGACAATCAATCATATATAATGGTCTAACATTATCAAGTTTAGTTTTGCTGCCTCTTGGTAATATACATTGTCTTATTGGTATTGGTGCTTGCCTTCTGTTAAATAGGGGTTGTCTCTTGCTGTAGATAGAGTATCAGGTGATCTTAGGTGGATGTATGATTTGGGCATACTTGTGGTAGAGTTCTCTAGGGTGCAAAAGACCTGATTAATGAGGTGGAGATTTAATAATGTGTGAAGATGGATCTTTTTGTGTAAAGCTTGCAGTCGTAACTAGTTATCGGTGTGGTTGAGCTATTCATGCAGCTGAGAAGGGATGATATTTAGTTGGTCAAAATGCTCTTAGGTCTTATTCTTGCACATTTCTACCCTTCCAGGATATGTAGATTAGAAAAACTAACCTGGACTTTCAAACTTGCATCTCGGTGCTAATGCATCTATATTCTACTTTTGGTTGCAGGAGGTGACACCATTGAAGAAGAAGCTGGATGAGTTTGGTACCTTTTTGGCCAAGGTGATTGCTAGTTGTATGCATTACATTTTAGTGTTCATTGTACGTTTGGACATTAATATGCAAGTGTTATCTCGCATTTTTTATTCATTTTATAATTTATAATACTTGATCAGATAAATTACACTAACATTATTGCATTTCCATATTAGCTGCTAGCAAATTCAGTTTTTGTTATGGTTCCTTTTGAATACTGGGTCCTGCATTTTATTGTCTGTCAAGATGCCATTTTGGTTTCCTGACCTACAGCTGACTTAAATAATTATAACTGATCCTTTTTCAAGCTTAATATGGTGCTTCAAATGATAAAATATATTG